AAAAAATCCATTCTTAATGAAAACTGGTGCTGTCAGATACAAGTGCATTTAAAAGTAGTAGTAAAGTTTAGATCTTGAAAAATAGGAACCATTGCTGTAGAGCCCTGAATGTTGTATGACTTCTGCTTTTAACCCTTTGTCTTTCATTGTATAGTACATACTGCCATCCACACAAGGCCAGATATTTACCACAGCCAAAAGGAGAGCATTGGATTTCTTAGCTACAGAAATGTATAATGATGCCTACTCTCTGTCTGCTGGATTCTTGAATAGCCAACTGTTTGATAACGTGCATGTTTGTTTTTCTGAAGGCTACAACACAAGACCGGACCTACTCTGATTGTAGACTAGATGTCTGATGTGTCATGATAAAATGCCATATGGACAATAACCCACATCATGATGATGCAGGTGAAAAGGTAACCTGCCCTTCCTACTGACTGACCTGAAAACAGTCTAAAGATGTGTTGGCAGACACTGACTGTCGATGGTAAATGTAAATGGGCCTGTACTTGTATAGCACGTTTCTAGTCTTCAGACCACACACGATTACTCAAACAGAAACTAACTCATTCATACAGATGCTCGGCATCAGCAGCAATTTGGGGTTCAGTATCTTGCTCAAGGATACTTCAACATGTGGTACCAGGAGCCAGGGATCAAACCAACAACCTTCTGAGTAGGGGACAACACACTCTGCCTCTGCGCCACAGCCGTCTATGAGGTAAATTATTTAAAATTTAAGTATTTCAGTATATATAAAATACTAAATAATGCTTTGTGACAATGAGGTGAAACTAATGTAATTCTCACATATTTCATCTGCACTGACAGTGATGACTTTTAAAGAAAGCACAGAGTCAATTTAATAAGTTCGTTTTGAGAAGGGGTTAAGGGATTTTAGAAGAAGGTTAACTATATTTTTTCCAGTCACACTCACTTCTAATTGTCATTTTCTTACAGACATGGGACAAAATGGACTACAAATGTGGACACTACAATTCTTTCAAGTGTGTTTGGGACAGCTCTGTGTTGCTTGTTTAACGCTTCAGTACTTGACTGAATTCCTTCTGAATGTGGACAATACTCAAAGGTAGTAACAGCTACTGTAGGAATAAAGGTCATGACAACAAAACTGAGAGGGCAGGAATATTACAAAGTTGATTCTGTTGGACAAAAAGCTGAAAGATGATGACCATCACAGCTACAAACCGGACTCAGATGAGGGACAGAACAAGAGGAGGCAATAAGCCCGGTACAACACAGAACTGTACAGAACTATGGGTCCTTGACAGATTTGCAGCTTTGATTCATGGAGGGATCACACACAGTTCGGATCTTATTTTTTAAGAAATGGAGTCTTTTTATTTTCTGTGGAAGCAACTAAAGAAGATTCATCAACACATATCGGACATCCTTTTTACACAGCCATGTCTTTACAATCACAGTGAAACAACAGTAAAGAATAAATTGTACAAAAGATACAAGAGAACATTTCAGGTAAGTTGGAATCCTTTATTTTATTCCTTCAGAGTAGGGCATTCAGGACTACTGCATTTCAGTAGTCTTCAGATAATCCCAAAAACTTGTTGATGATTAATTACAGGAGATATATATAGAGATTTTTCCATCCAATAAAAATGATCGATTCTTGTAAAATGATTGTTCAAACAAATCTAAAGTTCAACATCAACCAAAATGATGTCCACTTTTGTTTGCTCGAAGACCATCTCAAAAGCTCTGAATAGCTGTCTATGATCCATGATTACAGCGCCACCAACTGTTGTTACTGCAGCGTCTTAACATGTAGGTCGACTAGTGGTCTATCACCAAACGTAATTACATCAGCATCACGTCCCATTGACGTGATCTATCAGCCATACTACCGGAAGTGAAGACGTAAAAATAACCTGTTCGCAAGGTCATCTGTGTTATCGTATTGTTTAAAATGTGTCTATACAATACTTAGCAGTGAATCAACAGGTTGTTAATTTTGCCAACAAACTACCTCGGTCCACTTTCAAGCCGACTCTGATGCGGATCGTTTAATACGTAAAGAAAAATCAGAGACCACATGGTCATGTTATTTTAGTACGAGTTCAAAAGCTAAACTACCAAAAAAATGATCTGTTGATCATGAAAGTATGTTCAAGAAGTGATATAATAATCTTATAATTCATCTTTATCAGCCATGGCGGATGTAGATTAGATTTCTGAATACGTAGGACACGTATGCACATTAGCATTAGCCTTAGCTAGCATAGCACGTTCATTAAAGGGTAACTTTGACATTTTTCAACCTGAACCTTTTTTTCCCATGTTTGGGGAAATAAGATTTAGTCCAGTATTACGTGAGAGAGCTGCTGCCTGCAGCCGTGAAAGGGGCTTTAATATAAGCCTTGCAAGCAATTGCACTCCGTAAAGAAAATGTACCTTAGTGTTATGTAAAAGATTTTCATTGTTATGGCTGAATATTTAGCTGATTTCAACAATGTGGGTGATCGTAGATTTGAGCTGTAATCATCCAATCAGTAAAGAAGAAGGGTAGACTACAAACACTCATTTCCTTTGCTGGTTATTTGGGAAGCCTAAAGAAAATGTATTATATTTTTATTTATTAATACATATGATTGTATGTTTAAATTCTAGGTAATGTTGAGTGTATCAGTTGAGTGTTTCAGCCATTTAATAGGTAAAGAGTGTTCATTCATGCTTGAAAAAAACAGCAGGTGACACAAGCAGTGCTCTCTTATGCCCTTTGAACGTAGAAGATACAATAATAACATATGAAAACTGTTTTAGTTTAACACAGTGCAGTCAGGTTAACTATGGATTTCTTTTAGCTAACACACCACTTGCTAACAGAATTGTTAGCGTGGCATTTAGAGTAGCTATGTGTTAGATCCTTCATGTTCTGTGTTTACAGATACCCACCCATTAAACTAAAGGAAATTCGAATATGCGTAAAAAAGGCACGAGACCATCGCCAGTATATAGGCTGAGGGCTGGAGCTGCATTTTCAGTTGGCAATTAGTTATAGATAAAGTTTTGTGCTTTAGAGTGTTTCACAACCTTTTTTGGTAGGTGACACCTAAAATCAAAGAAAAATCCACTTTTGCACCCTTGTTAAGCTGTGGTTGCATACCTGCACCAGTTGAGACCAGTTCGATCGAGAAAAAAAAAGTGTGTTTAATGGCTTAAGATTCCTGAAGTAAAATCAGTTCGCAAGAAAAAAGGAAAAGATTAGAGTAACATTTGCTGTTAATCATCTAATTACACCTTCGATTGACTGTGCTACCCCTTGTGGTGCTTCTGACCCCTAGGACCCAGCTTTTGCTGATGCGGGATTGGACCACACCACCACAGACACAGAGACTGCCACCAGGTAATTGCCATATTAATGTGCAGTGTAGACACACTTCAATACTTGAAGGTCTCTTAGAAGGTCTATTAGAGACTGCAAGTTAACTCAGTGTTATATTATTCATATTTTGAGCCCATGAAAAGATATCAGATTGGGGCCCACCACCATAGATCACACCAACCTGCACAGTTATTGTAATCACACTTTTCAAAGCTTTATATAATTCTACCTTTGTAGGCTTGCAACTGTCTTGTAGTGCAGTACTTGCTGATGATATTTACTGATGATATCTACCGCCTTCTTTAACAGTCTAATTTAATTTTAAAGGTTCAGTATGTAACATTTAGGAGGATCTATTGTCAGAAATGGAATATAATATTCATAGCTATATTTTCATTATTCAG